TACTAATATACATATTTAATCCATTGCACTTCACTGAATTTAGTTTCTATTTGAGTCGTATTATAATCCTAATCTTATTATTTTTTAATTGTTGTTGTTATTAACAACTTCTACCATTGTTGATAAGTATGATAAATATTTTATTGAAATGTTTAAAAATATACCCGAATTAATATATAAATACAAGTAATATAAAAAGTATTAATTGTGTATGTTTATATGAGTGTATGCATATTAAAATTTTATGAATTTAAGATAAACAATAATTACTTGTTAGTGGATTTTTTAATTATAAAGTATTTTATTCATTAAATTTTTTTAGGCATATGTTGTATTTGTTAGAACGTCTTATTAAAACGAACTTATTAATTAAAAAAACATGAAATGAAATATATATACATACATATTTATGAAAATAACTTACAAGTTTTTTATTAAAGAAATCTTACAAAAAGGGGAAAAAACGAAATTGAAGTGAGTGAAAGCAAAAACGCACGTCAACAAACACTAGGAAGGATCGACGTCGAGAAGCTGCAAACACAACAGACAGCCGAACGATTTTTTACTCGACTTGCACTCCTGCTCTCTGAGAGCACTCGACAACAATTCCGTATAAGGGAACTGTGGGACGGCATTTCAAACTCCTTACGTACAGCTGCAACCGAAAGCATTGGTTTTTGGAAAATGCAAAAGAATGGCGGCTGGTACGACGAGGAGTGCCGTGTCGCAGCGGAGAAAAAACAGACTGCCTATCTCTTAACGTTACGTTCGACCACAACCCGTGCGGCATGGGATAGATACCGAGTGTTGAAGAGGAAAGCTAGACGCATTTGCAGACAGAAAAAGAAAGAGGCCAAAATGCGTGAGTATGAAGAGCTTGATAAGCTGACCGACATGGGTAATACTCGAAGGTTTCAAGACCGGAGCATACGCTTGTAGAACCCTAAAAAGGTGATCTAGTCACCGATGCCCACTTCTCTAGCCTGCTGAATGGCAGTGAACGTACAACGCCAGGAGAAGGCGAACCCGATTACCCAGTCGATGAGATGGAGCAGACGTTCCATTGCCCGACCATGAAGAAGTTCGAATAACAATTAGCCGTCTGAAGAACAACAAAGCGGCGGGGCAGATGGATTGCCGGCCGAGCTATTCAAACACGGCGGCGAAGAACTGATAAGGAGCATGCATCAGCTTCTTTCTAAAATATGGTCCGACGAAAAAATGCCCAACGATTGGAATTTAAGTGTGCTTTGCCCAATCCATAAAAAGGGGACCCCACAATCTGCGCCAACTACCGTGGGATAAACTTCCTCAACATCGCGTATAAAGTTCTATCGAGCGTATTGTGTGAAAGATAAAAGCCCTCCGTCAACAAACTGATTGGACCTTATCAGTGTGGCTTTAGTCCTGGCATATCAATAACCGACCAGATATTCACCATGCGCCAAATTTTGGAAATACCCGTGAAAGGAGAATCGACACACACCACCTCTCGTCGATTTCAAAGCTGTTATCGACAGCACGAAAAGCACCTTCCTTTATGCCACGATGTTTGAATTTTGTATCCCCGCAAAACTAATACGGCTGTGACGTTGAGCAACACAAAAGGCTCTGTCAGAATCGGGAAGGACCTCTCCGCGCCGTTCGATACCAAAGGAGGTTTCAGGCAAGGCGACTCCCTATCGTGTGACTTCTTCAACCTGCTTCTGGAGAAAATAATTCGAGCTGCAGAACGTAATCGAGCAGGTACAATCTTTTATAAGAGTGCACAGCTGCTGGCGTATGCCGATGATATTGATATCATTGGCCTCAACGCCGTTAGCTCTGCTTTCTCCGGAAAGGATAAGGAAGCAAAGCAAATGGGTCTGGAAAGAAACGAGGGCTAGACGAAATATCTCCTGTCATCAAACAAACAGTCGTCGCACTCGCGACATGGCTGTCATGTCACTGTTGACAGTCATTACTTTCAAGTTGTAGATAATTTCGTCTATTTAGAAACCAGTATTAACACCACCAACAATGTCAGCCTGGAAATTTAACGCAGGATTACTCTTGCCAACAGGTGCAACTTCGGACTAAGTAGGCAATTGAAAAGTAAAGTCCTATCTCGACGAACAAAAGCCAAACTGTATAAGTTGCTCATAATTCCCGTCCTGCTATATGGTGCAGAGGCTTGGACGATGACAACAACTGATGAGTCGACATTGCGAGTTTTCGAGAGAAAGATTCATGGTCCTTTGCGCATTGGCCGCGGCGAATATCGCATTCGATGGAACGATGCGCTGTATGAGATATATTTATGACGACTTGACATGGTTCAGCGAATTAAAAGACAGCGGCTACGCTGGCTTGGCCATGTTGTCCGGATGGACAAAAACACTCCAGCTCTGAAAGTATTCGACGCAGTACTCGCCGGGGGAAGCAGAGGAAGAGGAAGACCTCCATTCCGTTGGAAGGACCAAGTGGAGAAGGACCTGACTTCGCTTGGAATATCCAATTGGCGCCACGTAGCGAAAAGAATAAACGACTGGCGCGCTGTTGTTAATTCGGCTATAATCGCGTAAGCGGTGTCTACGCCAGTAAAGAAGAAGAAGAAAGCAACTTCCAAAATCAAGAATGATAGAGAAAGAGATTACGCAATGCGCATGTTTGCTTTCAGTCAGCTTTTCTTGCTGATGTCACGGTTGACTTATTAGTCGCCCGCGCCTTTGAATGTGAATTCGAATTGTACTTTCGAGTGAAGTATTAATTGAGAAATTTTATATTTTTTAACTGAAACCACGATGACTGAAAGGTGGTTAGTGTCAATAACCACCTCTTTCCGATTTTTTACATTAAAATCCACGCTATCTATCGACAATCGCGTGAATTGTCATGAATGTTTGTACCTTTTTTGACAAGGTGCGACCGGTTAGCCGCATATTCGATGAATAACAGTTCAATTGTTTTCATTTGAAAATCGTGCTAACGTACATTTTTTCTTGTGTTTGATCAAAAATATCATCGACATACTGAAATAAATATAAAAATACATGAATACTTACATGCCTAA